AGATAGATAGATAGATAGATAGATAGATAGATAGATAGATAGATAGACAGACAGACAGATAGATAGAAAGATAGAAAGATGATAGAAAGAATAAGGTAAGGTAAACATACAGACAGATAGATAAAGATAGATGAGAGATATATGATATAGATAGACAGGTAGATAGATACAGTAGATAGATGACATATATAAATAGAAGACAGTTGGAAGATGGATAGATATGGGTTTATAGGAGAGAGAGGGAGGGAGGGAGGAAGAGAGAGAGAGAGAGAGAGAAGAAAATTGGGAGAATAGAAAATTAACCAATAAATTCCATGCCAACCCACAGTAGATGAACAGAAAATAATACTTCTCTCTATTTTTCAGAGTTCTTCATAGACTTGGACTTGGTGATGGGTCCATTGACACAACACAGCAGTATGACCAACCTGGTCCGTTACATTCGTCAAGGACTCCATTGGCTTCGCACCGAAGCACACTTGTTGTAGTGACGGCCACGCCCCCCTGTCACAACTCCATCCCGTTTCCTTCCTCGGCACACAGGTGATTCCCCGATGGACAGCCACTTCCTCCCGTAACTGTATTCATAGAGTTTAATTTTGTTGCCGTCTCTCTTTCTGTCTTATACAAAACACGAACTATTCTATCTGTCCGAAGTGGAATTGCCATAAATGGGAAATGTAGCTTCCAAGCAGGGTACGTGTTCCTCCTGTTGAACCAGCGTCGGTTATTGCCTTGGTCTACAAATTTCTACGAAACCTGCCAATATTGACATCTGTAACCCACAGAATGGTCATTCCCTGCAGTATTGCACTTTGATCCAGAAGTATATTTGGGGAGAAAGGGTTCATAACATTTTGAGGGCCCTTTCCCAAAAGTTCTCACACCTGCCAATCAATGCAGAGAAACTCCCTCTTCCCAAACACTATGTTGTCCTTCTGGGACAAACCATCCCTGTCCTCAGCTTAGTCCTGACTTGTTACTTGACAAGAGATAATTGTTACCATTGCAGAAGTGTGGTCCTTAAACAAGTATAACGTTGAGCGCTTCCACATGCACATACACAAAAGCCCTTGGGAGATGTCTACAGAGAGGCCAGTCAACTGTCACATTTTGTAATTCTGCTTGGTGGGCCTCCCTTTTTGAGGGGCTACAACCATGCCCTTTTAAAATCTATTTCACCAATATGGAAGACTTTGAAATGAAAAAGATATCCAGTAATCTATGCTGTAGGACTCATCCCGTGTTCTCTCTCTCTCTCTCTCTCAATCTCTCTCTCTCTCTCTCTCTCTCTCTCTCTCTCTCTCTCTCACACACACACACACACACACACACACACACACCTCTCAAAAAATTAAGGATGAGATAGGTTTGGTTTTTTTTGTTGTTGTTATTCTAAATATGTGGGGCATCTCCACAAATTACCATAGGTTCAACTACGGTACAAGGTAATCTCGTTTAATTGAACCATTTGTGGGTGGAGGATGTCCATTAGATGTAATTACCACAGCAATGGATGACATAATGGAAATGAGGCCAATTGTCTGAAGATGTCCTTAAGTGAATGAAGCTGTAATGTTATGCCAATGACACACATTGACCCTCGTTGCCTCGTTTGCATAAGGACATCAATCATTGCTGAAAGATACGTTGAAATTGTCTCCTCTAGACTTCTTGGGAAGCGATGGACTTGTGAACTGTTTCAGAGTCTGCTAAATAGTTTTGTTAAAGCAAGGTTTCACTGTATCCCAACATGTGCTGGCTGGGGAATTCTGGGAATTGAAGTCCAGCGGTCTTGAAGTTACCAAAGTTGAGAAACAGAGCTGGAGGGTTCTCAACTATGAGGGCCCCATATCCAAGCCTACTGAGAAAGCTCAGTATAATCGTTGTAATGACTCCCTTTCTAGGAATAACCTAGAGCGGGGTTGGCTGGTTGTTGTTTTTTTTCATTCCTTACTACAAGGTTTCCGAGGTGTGCTTTTTTATTTTTTTAACCTTTCAAACCTGCCCTTCCTTGTGGATTGCAGGATGCGCTGTGCACCAAATGGTTTTAATGAAACCCTTCGGGCATGGGTAGGATTTAACTGGTGCAACAACCAAACTGGTAGAATCCCACCCCAGCATCGTCTTCTATCTGCAATGGCTCTAATAGGACCACCAACTTATCACCAGGCAGGTTCTGGGAGCTTTCAAATCCTCCCAAACCCTTCAAATAGTCAGGGCTTTCCCCAAAACACCACCATTGGAAAAGACACCAGCAAATTCAAGAATTGGATTTCTCCTCTTCCTCCTGTTAACTTTCGGCAGGAGGAGATCTTTTGGCTGACAGCGACAGATGGAAGGGCTGTGAGATGGAGGGTTTTCCCAGGGCAGAGTGGCGAAGTGTGTCAAAGAAATAGTAAATTATCGTTGTGTTTTCCCCACTGTACTTCATCCAGTCAGGCACTGAGCAGTTGATATCCCTAACACGAGCTTTTTCACAGCAGAATTCACCAGTTGTTCTGTCTCTACCTATGTTCCAATGCTAGGACTAAAACCCGAGATATTAGAAGGAAGACAAGATTAAAATCCCTTTAACAGCTGCAGGGTGTATTTCTTTTATCGCACACACAAAAAAAAAAGGAAAAAGAAAAGAAACCAAAACACAAGGGATAAGGAAAAGAAAGCCTTTAAGATCAGAGCTGGTTTCCATTACAGACCACCTTAAACTTCAAAATATATATATATTTTTTCTCCCTGTAAAAACAATAATTAAGCCTTGGTAAGCCTTACAGTTATCATTTAATGTATAAGCTTTTATCCATTTGGACCGGTGCCAGTTTGGTTTAGAACAGAGCTAATCCCTCACCTGTGAGTAAAAATTTTGGAATTCAGTCAAGCTTGGTTTTAGGTAGACTATATTCCATTAATTGCTTCTCTTTTTTTAATTTGTTTTGAAACTGGATGTTGGATAATGTCATTTCCATTATCATTTTGGTTTTGGTTTTTTCTTTTTTTCTTTTTTTTTGCAGACAGCGCAGGTCCTCCACCATATTCAGATTAACCAAGTTGGAAGGGACCTTGTAGGTCATCTAGTCCAACCCACCCACCCCCACCCAAGCAAGAGACCCTACACCATTTCTGACAAATGACAATCCAGACTCTTCTCGAAATAGACTTTGTATGAAGGAATAAACTTCAGGGACAAACTTAAAGAAAGTCCTACAAATGTTAACAGTTTAATTGTAAATGTTAAGTGGGGGATGGGATTTGGGGAAATTAATCCACGAAAAACATCAGTACACCTAACCATGTAAATACCACTTTATATCATTATCACTCCAGAATAATATTTCATTCATACTGGATCACTGAGAGGGGAATCACTCATAGCTATGTTCCCTTATATAATCCTATAATTTCAGAAAGTGATATATCAGTGGTTCAAACTGCTGGGATATCTTTTAGGGAGGAGATAGTATTTGCATCCATGTGCCAAGATTTTTAACAACTGAGTCCAAATCCAGTCTTAAAGGTTCCCTTGATGGCAATCAATAATTCACTTTACTTATTTATTTTTAGGGAAAAAATAAATCTAAGTCTTAAAAATATTTTATTCCCCATTATAATTACTGTAGTTCAAAATTAACCCTGGCAACATTTGGCTGGTCTACAAAGACTATTGTCAGATTTTGATTATATCAACCAGATTAGAGAGATTTTTCATAGAAGAATAGATTCTCACGGAGACCCAAGGTCCTTTTTCAAGAGGCAACTGGACTTTCTTTCTTTGCTTCTCATTTCCTTGAAGATGTTTCGCTTCTCATCCAAAAAGCTTTCTTCAGAACTTCTTCATCCATGACCTGAGAATCTCCATAGACCTTCCTACAAAGAGTTACTCTGAAATTCGTGGGTTGAGGTATGACGAGAAGTCAACATATGTTGATGATTCCCTTACTAGCTTCATCCGAACATCTTCCCTTGCGTCTTCTTAAGCTTCCATATTGGAAACTGAACCTGAACATAGACTTCATTTCCCATCTGATTCCAGGAATTGCTCCATATCTCTGAAAAAGACCTCACAGTCTTTCAAATTTCTTACCATTTTTCCCCTCCTTCTTCTTTCCCACGTCCATATTATTCATGAGAGCTTTCTTCTATATCGTGTGTGATGCATTCTGACAACATGGAATAAAGCAACCATCTTTCCATCCAGATGTCTTAAGGAAAGTAATGGGACCTTTTGCGGTTCGCTTGTTTCTCTAAACCTCAGTTAGAATTAATGGCAGCCCAAGCCAAAAAAATCATCTGGGGTTCATTGGAAAAGAGTAGAAAAGGATCCCACCTCTTCTTCAAACCCCCTAAAGAAGGAGAAAACTGGAAGGGCAACCATCAAAAACTAGATCTTCCTTTCCATTCCATTCCACAAACAGAAAACTCAGAATTGACTCTAGCCCTCCATTCAGAGCCAGGAAATGACCTGAGATCAATTGGAAAATATCCCACCTCTTCTTCTGATCCCCCAAAAAGGGAAGGGATCCATCAAAATGAGAGATTCCTTTCCATGCCAGAAACAAGAAAGCTTTTAAAAGCACCCCCCCAATCCGGGCTCTATTAAAAAAGAGGGGGAAAAGTTGTCCATCTTGAAATCTATTCCGACTTCTGTTTAAAGTTTCCATTCATCTTCTTGAAAGCCTCATCGGGAAGACTGACCAAGGTTACAAGTTTGAATTATTGCCCCGTTAAAGCAAGTGGATTCCACGCACACCCTCCCGCATATATTTTTTTTCCCCCCTTTTGTTGAGTGAATGGCATTTTCTGTCAATGGCGCGAGTGTAAATCAGTCACGGTAATATAGCACCAGCTCTGAATGTCTGCCAATAAAAAATCTCGAGGGGAAGAAGAAGAAGAGGAAAAGAAGTCAACAATGGAGGTTTTTCCTCTTTGCTAGCTGTGTCGCAGGGAAGGTGACCGCCCCAAGTTTCATTAGCGTGCACAAGATTGGTCTGTAGACCATGTCAGCTAAACGGGGTGCCCTTCGCGAAAGAAATAATTGGTGGGGTTAAGGAATGACATCAAAGTACTTGGCCAAGTTGGACAACTGCCAGAGTTGGAAAGGCTTTAAGTCAGGCTAAGAAATGAGAAAAATATGGCGACTTCCAATATCTGAGGGAATGCCGGATGGGGTTTTTTTGGTGTGGCGGGGTATACACAGAGATGTACAATGTGACATTTATCCAGATTAAACAAAGAGGGTTTGTTTGTTTTTTAATTTGCTTTGTTTCATGAAGAGATCTTGGAATTCGAAAGCTGTTTTGTGTGCCCTGTAAGTAACACACATACAAAAAAAAAACAAGAAATTAACTGGAGTCTTTAAGAAAGAAAAGCTTGTAGGTGTCCTGAGGAAACAGAAATTACTTCGACTGAAGGAGTTGACTTGACCAACAGAGACTGGGGCTTCTTAAAGACCAAAACATTTGTTCTTGCAAATGTTTTTGAGGACTGTAGACCATGTTTCTCTGTATCTGACCAAACAGGCTGTGATT